CGACTACCACCACCACCACCACCACCACGACTACCACCACCACCACCACCACCCACGACTACCACCACCACCACCAACGACTACCAGCCACCACCCACCACCACCACCACCACCACCACCACGACTACCACGCACCACCGACCACCACCACGACTACACCCCACCACACCACGACTACCACCACACCACCACCAAACCACGACTACACCACCACCCACCACTCACGACTACCACCACCACCACCACTTCCACCACCACGACTACCACCACACCACACCCCACCACTATCTGATCTATCCTATCTATCGCTAATATCCACCAACACCACCACACCACCACCACCACCACCACCACCACCACCCACCACATGTTGTGCAAAATTTTAATTTGAATTTGGTATGTTTCGCATTCTCTTCCTGAGTGAACTAACTTATTCTCTATTTACAAAATATTTATCCACCTCTCAACCATGACTTTCAACAGACAATCTTCTATATAGTTTGTCCAGCTTTATTATTTCTGTTGCAAAAATTACAACTCCAAACTGAAACGTTTTTTTTCCCAATAAAACATGTGTCACAATTTGTTCCAAATCATGATGCGAACATTGGTTTTCAAACACCTTATTCAGAAAAACAGTAGAATATCTACTATAGAAATTTTCTCTTTCAATTACACAAGTATATTTTATTTACAGTTTACTATACATTAAATACAATGCAAAAGGAACATATTGTCATCCACTCGTAATTCGCTTCTCCTAAACGAGCAATCATAATCCGACTCTTTCAAGTATTCATTCTCTAATGGAGTAGCATTCCTCCAAACTGAAAAAATGTAATATGAAAAGGCTACAAAAACAGAGAAAAAAATAAATAAAATCATCAAGTCAAAAAATGTATACTTAATGAGCCAGACTAGTTTGCACTAAAATGTGTTTTTCCAAACATTATTGAATACATTCAATTTAATGAAAAAGCTCTAATATGAATTTAAAAGATCTAACCATCTCATACTATGCAGAACATATCACTTAGTAATGTTTCGACAATACATTCATATTGTTAAATTTTAAGTTTGTGCACATGAAATAAAATTACAAAAATTCTTCTATATACACCTAAATTTCGTGTTGTCTATATATTATAACATGTAGACTCACAAGTCCCATTTAAATGTTTTTTGAGTTTATTTACATTTTTATGTCCACACTTACATTCTTTTATTTAGAGAATATGCTGATGTTCCAGAACATTAGAATTACTAAATATATACATAATTGCGTTTTTAACTACGTCACAAGTATAATTAACATATTGACATTTTTTGTCTTTTCTTGTTTTTAAAAAATATAATTAGAAAGTGTGCATAAATGTTTAAACTATCTAACAAAAGATATAGTTAAACAAATTAGCTCGTGTATAGTTCAATATCAAGATCAGATTGACCACCTCGCAATCTGATCAGCTGGTGCTCCTTGCTCTCTCAGATTGCCAGTAAGTTGACTCAATTCTCTGCTGTTTCTCTATTACCTTTTAGGCTCTCTCTTTCATGTTGTCGGCAACCATTGAATTGCGTTAAAGCTTTGTATAACATATTTCAAGCATTTTTTAACAACCTAGAAAAACATGTATATGTTGCAATTTAACAACTTGTTAAATTGTGTACTGCAAAAATTTTGATGTATTCTTCTAAAATGATATCTTATAATTTTACCAAAAGAACTAATTTTTGACAACTGGTCAATGTCAAGCTGAAATAAAAAAAATGTTTTTGTTTGATTGGTTTCCCAGCAAACTCATGGATTTCCTAAGTTTCTTGTATTTGGATGAGAGCATTCCTCCAGCAAACGGAGTAAGTAATTAATTTGCTTCCTTGCTATAGATATATATATGTCATATTGCGGAATTTTTCCTTTCAATAAAATGCTTGATTTTTATCAACCTAAAAATAAAGCAATCACTTACAAGATTGTAATATTGAAAGGACTTTCATTAAACAAACATTCTACAGTCGATTCCTTACATTTAAAATACAATACCAGCAATCCTTCAACTCTAAAAATTGTAGGCCAAACAGAATACATAAATTAAAGATTGGATTTTGTGGAAACCAAACATCATAAGTTTACATGCCTGAATATAAAACAAAAGTTTTCCTCAGGAAACAAACCAGATTCCACTTCCACTAATACTAACATTTTGAGATAATTGAGATTTATACCATATTCATTCACATCCAAATCTATTTCCACATTAATTTCATCACAATGAAAACAAAAGAAGACATTAAATTCAGGAAGATTAAGCACAAGTCTGTAATTCTGAAAGTAAATTTGGCTTGCCATAAACGCGAATACTTTCCAAAATGTTTACACTGCATAATTTTAGGTGGAATCCCAAAAAAATTTCCATATTCCATTATCGAAGAACAAAGCAAATGAAGAGAGTCTCCCAACTTTCCCAGACAACAAAATCTATGTGTCTTTCCAGCGTTAATCTACTGAATCAAAATTGAAATTCCTAGCCGGAGAGGAGGAACCGAGGTACTCATGAGAAACTTTCGAATAGGTCATTATTAAATGTAATTTCTTTCTCTGTAATTAAAGACCCCTGATGTTGATAGATTGCTTTTAGAGCATATCTATAGAGCGATGGTGCCATTATTTATACGCCCAGTAATAAATAAACGATATGAGCATTCTGATTCGAGCATTTCTTATACTACTTTGAACATTCACATTATGAAATATAAATGCAATCATCTGCAAATAGCAAGCTGAAACATTTGAGATAAGTGCCTTCAAATCCAACTTGAACGAAACACTCCAGCAATAAGAAGATGTGAATTGACACTCCGCTGTGGTATTTCGAGTAAGATACATTGCCTCGAAATAATCCAAAATGGTTATTCCACCGATTAATCTGGTCCCCACTCATAGTGCTGCGATTTTGAAAACCTTTCATCAAAATTTGCGAGTACTGTACACGTAGAGCCTCCCTGAAATTTTCACAAAATCTTCTCAAAAAAAAGACAGAAAAAACGGGGGCCCTTATCCCCCAAAACCTTTTATTTTTTTCCAAAATTAACATTGTAAAATTGTAAAAAATATTAAAAATACACTTATAAAGGTGGATACACGGTCCAACTTGTTCAAGGGGTTAAACTCTGAATCTTCGAAACACTGTAGAAGGGGTGATTTTGTTTTAGAGCGATCTTGCTACAACTGTTAAAAACTGAAGGAAAAGAGGTATTTTCCATCAAAAAATTATGTTGATACATGAATTCAGTTCTTATAAATATTAAACCTTTCGTTTTTTGAAACATTTTAAGTAATTATTCGCGATGGATTACTCGGTAATATTTGGGGGCCGTTTTAAAATTGAAGCCACACAACAAATTAACTCAATGTGTTCCCAAATTGTCTTGAAGTTATTGGGAGGATATGCTAAATTATTTCTATAGAAATGACATAAAAGCCACAGTATGCTCTATTATTTTTCCAAAATTAACACAAAAATGTAATGATTAGTATTTTACTTATTTTTTTGCATGATATAAATATTTTTTTTACTCAATTACTTCTGTGAAAAGTAGCTCAAAATTCTCCTTTTTCGCATCCAGCACCCATTTTCTCCCAATAACAGGCTCCCAAATTTTTTCTTCAAAACTTTCGAACGGATTAGTTCTAAATACACACTATTGATGTAAAGAATCCTCTGTATATTATTTATGTTTTTTTCAAAAAGTTACCAAAATGTAAGTTTTTTGAAAATCTCACGCCACTTGCATATGCCACATTTCCAGCAGTTTTAAACACTATTATTTGTGAGTTGTTCTTCCAAAAATGTTTTGAAAATAAGTTTTTCAAAAATTCACAAATTTTCTGTAAAAAAGAGATGAACATCTTCGAATTTACCAAGTAGTGCTTAAACAGCCAGTTTTTTAAAAGAACAGCTATCAATTTTTTCGTAAAATATCTTCCCACTCATTCCAATAGGAAAGAACCCAGGAACAATTAAGAAAAATGTCCAAAATTATGTTAGCTTGGCGAGCGATCAGATGCAAGCGGCAAAATTTATGCGGGGCATAGTTCGGAAAAGCTAACAGAGACCAAAGGAAAATAAGAAAAACGAATACGCGGAAATTTAGTGACCATTTATGTAAAGCACCACTAGTAATAATATATAGAGGAGAGCCGTCGTTCCTGGGGAGATTGGAGCTAATGGGCCGCATTTACCATTCCTGTAAACAATCAATGAAACACTTCATAATCAAGAAGGAAGTTCCTTGCAAAGATTAGACAAAAAATCACAAAGTTTTATCGACGATTAAAAGATAGGTTGCTGTAAACAGTCCACCAAGAAACTCTTTTTTTAAACATGTCATTTTGCCGAACTCTGAACGGAAGGAAAAACGGATATATATATACGCGGTGGGGGGGGAATGGAATGCCAAAAGCTTGGAGGATAATCCAAGAACCCCTGGGAATGGACTTACTTTTCGCGGATCGATCTAGTTAATCATATCTGAGTATGATGATTTCAGGACTTAACCCAAAACTTTAAAAAAAGAGTGAATGCGAATTTTTAACAATGGTCATCATCTCTCTCTTTCTACTACTACTACTACTACTACTACTACTACTACTACTACTACTACTACTACTACTACTACTATTATTCTTTGTGCACAATAGCGTTGAAGAATTTTAAACATAGGTCACTAAATGCACAAAGAGAAGTCATTGTCATGACATTATACTGGAAGTTTAATCATGCACATTTGATCTTTGGAGTAATGTTTTGTTGGTTCCCATGTTGTTCTCCGCTTTCCTTCCTTAATAGCATAGCATCCGGAGTCAATTTGTGAAAGTGTACTGGTTAATAAATGAGACCCAAATTTTCATTCTGTCTGCTTTGATTTGTGCAAAATTTGTAATTGGAATTTGGTATGTTTCGATCTCTTCCTGAGTAACTAACTTATTTCTCTATTTACAAATATTTATCCACCTCTCAACCATTGACTTTCAACAGACAATCTCATATAATTTTCCAGCTTTTATTATTTCTGTTGCAAAAATTACAACTCCAAACTGAAACGTTTTTTTTCAATAAGAACATGTGTCAAATTTGTTCCAAATCATGATGGAACATTGGTTTTCAAACACCTTATTCAGAAAAACAGTAGAATATCTATTATAGGAAATTTTCTCTTTCAATTACACAAGTATATTTTATTTACAGTTACTATACATTAAATACAATTGCAAAAGGAACATATTGTCATCCACTCGTAATTCCGCTTCTCCTAAACGAGCAATCATAATCCTGACTCTTTCAAGTGCTTCATTCTCTAATGGAGTTAGCAGTTCCTCCAACTGAAACAAAATGTAATATGAAAGGCTACAAAAACAGAGAAAAAATAAATAAAATCATCAAGTCAAAAATGTAGTACTAATGAGGCCAGACTAGTTTGCACTAAAATGTGTTTTTCAAACATTATTGAATACATTCAATTTTAATGAAAAAGCTCTAATATGAATTTAAAAAGATCTAACCATCTCACTACTATGCAGAACTATCACTTAGTAATTGTTTCCGACAATACATTCATATTGTTAAATTTTAAGTTGTGACATGAAAATAAAATTACAAAAATTCTTCTAATATACACAAATTTCGGTCAATATAACAGTGAGACTCACAAAGTCCATTTTAAATGTTTTTGAGTTATTTACATTTTTATGTCACACTTACAATTCTTTTATTTAGAGAATTTGCTGATGTTCCAAAATTAGAATGTACTAAATTATTATACATTAATTCGTTTTTAACTACGTCACAAAGTATAATTAACATATTTGACATTTTTTTTCTTTCTTGTTTTTAAAAGGAATATAATTAGAAAAGTGTGCATAAATGTTTAACTATCTAACAAAAGATATGGAGTTAACAAATTAGCTCGTGTATAGTCAATATCAAGATCAGATTGACTCACCTCGTCAATCTGATCAGCTGGTGCTCCTTGCTCTCTCAGATTGGCAGTAAGTGACTCAATTCTCTGCTGTTTCTCTATTAGCCTTTTATGCTCGTCTCTTTCATGTTGTCGGCGAACCATTGAATTGGTTAAAGCTTTATAACATATTTCAAGGCATTTTTTAACAACCTAGAAAAACATGTATATGTTGCAATTTAACAATTTGTAAATTGTGTACTGCAAAAAATTTTGATTATCTTCTAAAATGATAATCTTTATAATTTCCAAAAGACTAATTTTGACATACCTGGTCAATGTCAATGTGAAATAAAAAAAATGTTTTGTTTGGTCCAGCAGAACTCATGGATTTCCTAAGTTCTTGTATTTGGATGAAGCATTCCTCCAGCAAACGGTAAGTAATTAATTTGGCTTCCTTGGCAGGAATTAAAGCATATTGCTGAATTTGTTCCTGTTCAATAAAATGCTTGGATTTTATCAACCTAAAAATAAAGCAATCACTTACAAGATTGTTAATTATTGAAAGGACTTTCATGAAACAAACATTCTACATCTATTCCTTACATTTAAAATACAATTACCAGCAATCCTTCAACTCTAAAAATTGAAGGGCAACAGATACATTACATTAAAGATTGATTTTGTGAATACCAAACATCATAAGTTTACAATGCTGATAAAACAGAAAGTTTTCCTTCAGGAAACAAAACCAGATTCACTTCCACTAATACTAACATTTTGAGATAATTGAGATTTTATTACCATTTCATTCACATCCAAATCTATTTCCACATTAATTTCATCACAATGAAAACAAAGAAGGACATTAATTCAGGAAGATTAAGCACAAGTCTGTAATCTGAAAGTAAATTTGGCTGCCATACGCTGAATACTTTCCAAATGTTTACACTGCATAATTTTGTGGATCCCAAAAAATTGTTCCATATTCCATTATCGGATGAACAAGCAAAGTGAAGAGATCTCCAGACTTTCCCAGCAACAAAATCTATGTGTCTTTTCCAGCTTAATCTACTATCAAAATTGATTCCTAGGTACTTGCATGAGGAAACTTTCGGAATAAGGTCATTATTTAAATGGTAATTTGTTTCTCTGTAATTAAGACCCCTGATGAGTGATAGATTTGCTTTTAGAGCTATCTATAGACATTCCATTATTTTACGCCCAGTAATATAACGTATTGAGATTCTGTTGCAGCATTTCTTCATCTACTTTGGACTTCATATTATGATATATAATGCAATCATCTGCAAATAGCTGAACATTTGAGATTAAGTGCCCTGTCATATCATTGACGAACACTAGCAATAGAAGAGGTCTAATGACACTCCGCTGTGGTATTTCTTAATGTAACATTTGCCCTGAAATATCCAAAATGGATATTCCCCGATTAATCTGGCCCCACTCTAGGTGCTGCGATTTTGAAAACCTTTCATCAAATTTGCGAGTACTGTACATAGAGCTCCCTGAAATTTTCAAAATTTTCTCAAAAACGGCTCCAAACTTTTTCATTAAATTGTAAAAATTGTAAAAATATATTAAAATACACTTATAAAGGTGGTACACGTCCACTTTTCAAGGTTAACTCTGAATCTTCGAAAACTGTAGAAGGGTGATTTTTTTTGGCGTCTTGCTACAACTGTAAAACTGAAGAAAAGGGTTTTTCCTTCAAATAAAATTTGTTGTCCATAATTAGTTCTTTAAAGTATTTAACCTTTTTTTTGAAACTTTTAGTAATTTTCGCGAGATTACTGCGAGTAATATTTGCCGTTTTAAAAATTACAAAAACAAGATTTACTCAATGTGTCCCAAATTGTTCTTTGAATTTTTGGTAGGGATAGTGCTAAATTTATTCTATGAAATGACATAAAAGCCACATTGCTCTATTTATTTTTCCAAAATTAACAAAAATGTAATGATTAGTATTTTATTATTTTTTTTGCATGTATAAATATTTTTTTTAACTCAATTACTTTCTGTGAAAAGTAGCTCAAAATTTCGCTTTTTCGCTCCAACGCCATTTTCTCCAATACGGCTCCAAATTTTTTCTTCAAACTTTTCGAACGGATAGTTCTAAATACACACTATGATGTAAAGTTAATTTCTGTGTATTATTTGTTTTTTTCAAAAATTACCCAAATGTAAATTTTTTGAAATATTTCTCACGCCACTGATATGCACATTTCCAGCAGTTTTAAACACTATTGTATTTGTGAGTTGTTCTTAAAATGTTTTGAAATTAAGTTTTTCAAAAATTCACAAATTTTCTGTAAAAAAGAGCATGACATTTCGAATTTACAATAGTGCTTAAACACCAGTTTTTTAAAAACAGCTTCAATTTTTTCTTAAAATATTTCCACTCTTCAATTAGGAAACCGAACAATTAAGAAAATGTCCAAATTTGTACTTTGGGCGGCGATAGATGGCAGCGGGCAAGAATATGCGGCAAGTTCGAATAGCTAACAGAGACCAAAGGAAATAGAAAACGAATACGGGAAAGTTTGTGACATTTTGTAGCACCACTAGTTTATATAATATATTAAGGAGAGCCTCGTCTTGGAGATTGGGCTATGGGCCATTACCATTCCTGTAAAAATCATGAACATTCATTAATCAAGAAGAAGTTCCTCAAGATAGGAAAAAATCACAAATTTTATCGGAATTAAGATAGGGGTGCTGTAAGTCCCCAACTCTTTTTAACATGTTCATTGCCGAAGCTCTGAGAGAACGGAGGAGTAAACGCAGGGTAATGGGAATGCAAGTTGGAGAATCAACCCTGGATGTACTACTTTTCGCGGATGATCTAGTAATCATGCTGATGATGATCAGGACATTAACAAAACGTTTAAAAAAGTTGAATGCGAATTTTAACAATGGGGATCGCAAATAGATGTTTCCAAAACAAAGTACACGGAAACAGAAGAATATGGAAAGATCTGTACATTGCAAAGAGGAGAGATACTAGAGTGCGCGTGAACCTACTGCGCAGGTTTCAACATGCGGCGGCCGCAAGTCACGTGACTTTGGGACACCGGTAGTTAGTTTTGCGTTGTATTGCGTGTACCTTTGCGTGCTGTTTGTTATTTCTGGTGCTACAGCGTAATTATTTGGGGGCCTACACGTTTGGCTAGGATCATCTGGAAATGTTTTTTAGCTGCGTACGAAGCAAAGGCGGATTCAACAATAATCCTACTACTAAGCAATTTGCTGGGGCTTACAAGTGATTACTGGTGCATCACCAGATTTCTTCTTCTGCCTTTGCAAATTGTGTTCCACAGGGTGAAACAACTATATTACATGTTAGTTCACGCCAGTATGCAAGTGTGTCACAAGTGAATGATCCTTAACTGTGCATTGAGGTGCCAATTGACCATATGTACTTGCCATCAGTAGACAATCTTCAAACTAGATTGTCTCCCAATGTTGTGGACATTGTAAAGTATATTAGATTTGCAGAAAAAAGAAAAGAAAGAAATTTCACTTGCTTCTGTTGATTGTAAGATAGTTCTTTGCCGGACTGATAGTGACGAAGAATCATATTCCTTCATTCAGAGGAAGGATGATCATGGGCTCAAATACCCTTCTGCAGATGTTCTCCAAAAATAACAGAAGTAGAAGTAAGAATACTTCAAGGGAGGGTGACAGTTTTCAAAGGGCAGCTTACACTACAATTGTAAATAGATGTTTGAGAGAATTTGTAAATAATTCCGTTTTTTGTCATTTAACTTATATTATTGGTTAAGAGGCCATGCTGAATCATAGGATGTATTTGATTAAGGCAATATTATTTAAATATTTTGAAATTAGATTAAAACATATAGGAAGAGAAAAGACTGAAATTTACCAGAAAAGTAGAATTAGATCAGTTAATAATAAAATTATTTTATTTAGAGGGCATTAATGCGTATGTATTTATTGGTGTTAGTTTTATATGGTGATAGTAGTATATATTATGTATTTACAGGTGTAAGTTATGTTTGTAGTGTTAGTAGTATATTAGTGTTTATAGTTTGTATGATTGTAAGTATTTGATTTTTATTAGTAAATTCTTTAAAAATTATGTATTTCAGCTTCCAGGTCAAAGACCCCCATTTCGATCAGGTTTTTGTCCAATTTCCCTGATCCATTGAGTTTAAATGTAGCTTCACTATGCGTATGTTTTGTTGAGCATTCCTTTTGCTTGTAGTGGTAGGAGTAAAGCCAATGTTATGATGCTGTTTTGTCAGTAATACAAAAAAAAAAAAGTTTAATCTTCTGATTGTTTATCAATGCTTCAAGTTTATCAAGTTTTGTATAACTTGGGAGGGAAAATGTCTAATGGCTATAGTTGAAATGTTGGGAAGAGATTTTTGAGCTCAAGAAAATGTGTGCAGATGGTACTTCTCCTCTGTATGACACATACTGTATTTAATGTTTTTGACTAAATAAATCAAAATATATATCAAAATAAAAGTTTGTTCCCCCCCCCCCTCTTCAAATCCTTGAAATATTTTGATAACTTGCTGTTATATGTCTGATGTGGATTATCAATAGCAGAATGTCTAGCATTGTTTAGTGACAGGATCTTGGATTAATGCCTCCCATGGAGTTAATTTATTTTACAATTTTTTTTATTTATTATTCTATGTAATTGTTCTTGTAAAACAGGTGTAGTGGGGTATACAGTTGAGAGTGACAAGTTGGACAAAAATCGGAATTTTCACGCACTTAATTAAATAGAGCAGAATAACTTAAAGTAACTTTTCTGCTATAAGGACAGTTAGGAAAAGAAGATGCTTTCAGTACAATAAGGTGATAGGAGTGTACGCGAGTTCCTCCCTCCCCATCGGTGGCACGAATACATTCATCTACGTCTCAAAGGACGAAGGAGGTCCACCAACTGCGATTGAAATGCGGTATCTGGAATATGGATTCCACTTACTAGATCCTACAATCGAGAAGCCCAACTGCACGTGCGCAACTTGACCAGGAGGCTGCGTACGCTCAGAAGGTTGCATTGGCGGAGGCGCGCGTGTGGGAGTATCTCGCAGGCGGGTCGAAGGAGCGGAGAATCAAGCGCTCCTTATGGTCCCTCGCTTTGTCTCAAGATCGATTGGCTTCCCCCAGACTCGCACGACGGACTCCCACGCCTAGGGCCGCCGGGAAGTACTTTAAGGTGGCGGTCCAGGCCTTCTCCACGACAGCGGAAGGACGGAGGACAGCTGGACGGAGACGGCGACGATGAGTTCTGCGTGAACGGCTTCTCGGGGCCGAGTGGCTGGATGTAGTAGGGCCCAACAAAGCTCCCTTCTCTCTTCCGGTGCCGTCCCCGCCCCAACCTTCGCGCCAGTGCCCCCGAGGGCCGTGTGAGTGAGAGAAGAGGCACCCCGCCGCTCCATGCTCGCGAAAGCGGGGTTTCCGATACCGGGCCCGGGGACGCGGTTACCGATGCCTCTACTTCCCCTTCACAGCAACATCCCAATAATAACACGCTTGTTTCAAAGGTTGGAAGAGGAAGGAACACCGCAAAAAGGGGCTAGCCGAATTGCCTGGCGGCTTACTGACAAATATGGCAGAGGTTGTGCCGGCAGGCTTTTGTCTTCTTTACTTCGGTCCTAGTACAGTGGAAGAAATCCTCTTACTTTCGGCTTTATGTACCAGCGGCCAACATGCGCCCGCCAGTGTATACATTCGCAAACGCGGCCCGGCAGAATTACTCCAAAAAGTTTAACCATTATTCACTAAGTGGATGCAAATTCTGCCGCCGGAACTGCGTGCGGGAGGATAAAAATGCCATTCACGAGTCGCCCAGGTTGTCTCACCTTGGTGGAGTGTCTCACCCCTCAGGAGTCGCCCTCAATTTCACCCTGTGCTGGAGGGAGCCTTCGGCGAGTAGTGTGGTGACATTGACGACACCCTCAAGAAATTCGTCTCCGGCGACAAGCTTAAAAATTACGTGTACGCATTGTCGACGCACAGACCTGGAGACTGACCACCGGGCACGCGCCTCTATACGACCCAGTGTTCGACGGTCGGGCCCTGACCCTCCCTCCTCCGGCGCCGTAAACAAGGCCCCCGCCCTGAGGTGTACCACCGACCACTGACGTCATTCATATTGCCTATGAAGAAACAGTACGTGAGCTCCACCAGGCAGTACAACAGTGGTAGGTAGTAAAGTGAGACGTAGGATGACAGAAATCTATGCGAACTAATGGTGCCGCGATTGCATGCCGCACCTCACAATAGCATGTGGCAAGTCGAGCTGGCAGACTATAAAGACCATACGAGTAAGAGTGATGCATAACGTTCAAAATGTACATAGCATGTTAGAATTAAGCGTAGATACAGGAATAGCTGTAAATATAAGATTAATTAGATATTAAGGACTACCACTATATCTGTACCCAAGATAGTATAATAAATTTTAGAAATGCGTACGTATACGAGAAAGTTAAATAACATTTTCCTTATCAAGCCCCACAATACGATTTTTTCTGCCGAAAAATCGCATTTTTTTTCCCAGCAGCAACATATCTTTCTCTATACTAGGTATATTCCTCCGTATATACGTACGTATACGAGAAAGACACTAGGTACAGAATGGCAGACCCACTCGTAATAGTTTTCTATTTTCTTTGGCCTCCGCTAAATATTCAGACTTGACACCATCTCTTGCCAGCTGCCATCTATCGCCGCCCACATTATTATTATTATTATTATTATTATTATTATTATTATTATTATTATTATTATTTGAAATTTATTCAATTTATCGGTTTCCTTATTGTCGTAACGAAATCTTACTCCAAAAATATAAAAGAAGAGTAAAACCTAGTAGTAAATGGCAATTTTCATTGTAACATTTGGAGCCATTCTTAAGAAAATTGCGTTTAAGCGTTACTGAAAATTCAAAATCTGAAGCAAATTCCAGGGGCCGCGACATAAACAGGAACGATTGGGCAATATCAATTTTGGAGAAAATTGGCTGAACATTTTATGCGTTAGCATTGTGAACGGACGGACGGAGACAGACGGACGGACAGAGCGACAGACAGACGGACAGAGCGGCAGACGGACGGACAGAGCGGCAGACGGACGGACAGAGCGGCAGACGGACGGATAGAGCGACAGACAGACAGACGGATAGAGTGACAGACAGACGGATAGAGCGACAGACAGACGGATAGAGCGACAGACAGACGGACGGAGCGACAGACAGACGGACAGAGAGACAGACAGACGGACAGAGACAGACAGACGGACAGAGAGACAGACAGACGGACAGAGAGACAGACAGACGGACAGAGAGACAGACAGACGGACAATAGTTACCTCACACCAAAGAAATCGAAAGTCATTCTACAGCACTACTACGGTTTTTTGTTAATTTTTTTTTTCAATTGTGCAGTGTTTGTTAATCTCTATAAACACAGTGTAGTAGTCTTAGGGCTATTCATTCAAACCAGTCCCTTTCAAATATTTCTACATTAGAAATCAAATTACTGAAGGTGATAACACAGCTGTTAATACATTTAGGTCAACCATGTAGGTATGCAAATGAACACTTGAATTCTAAACTTTGCAATATCCACTCCCTGATGTAGGGCCACCTGTTGGCAATACATGTATTATGTGTCCCAAGTGACTTCAAAATCTTCACTGAACATACCATTTCATTCCATTGTTTGTACATTTGAACTTCGGTTTAGAAATAAAATTTTTGATTTTGTATATTACAGTAAAATGTATTGAACATTATTTTCATTGTTAACATTTTCCATTATTACAGTTGAAATTATCATCACATTTTCTACAGATTTAAAATAACATTTTAATCATTCAACACTTCGAGTCACAAATGTCTAAACAGATGATAAACATAAAGAAATCTTCAAAAAGTTCCAATTCTGAGACCAAAAATGCCAATGTTATCACTAGACTATGCTAGAATGCCAAACAAAATAATAATAATAATAATAATAATAATAATAATAATAATAATAATAATAATGAGTAGTGCCCGAAAGTTCAGGCATGTTTTTTACTTAAAATAGGCAGGCAAAAAGGCATTCATTTTTACTAACCGAGGCATGCAAAAAAGGCATTTATTCTGTCTAAAGTAGGGGATAACACAAGAAATGTTGCAAGACAATATATGACCACGCCTTCACATTGTCCAGGTTTGTAGGTAAGATTCCAGCTTCATAGAGGTCAGAGCCAGGTGGTAGAAAATAATGACAACTAGCGGTGCTACAAAAAGCAAATTCCATATTAATTTTCTATTTCCTTTGGTCTTGCACTTGGCACATACTCACTGCACTTCAGCTAGCTCTTCACCTGAATACTTCAGACAAATGGGGGTAGTTTCTTCAACTTTCCAGAATTTTATGCTAGACTGTGACAGCTCACAATCAGATGTTAAAAAAGTACAATTTGGATTATTAAGTGCAGGACACAGAGGAGTGTGACCTGTTATAATCCAAACTAAATGTGTTTCCTGAAAAGTGGGGAGTTTCTCATCAGATCTTTTCTTATTAATTGGAAGTAAAGTATCAAAAAAGATGCCTGCACTGAGCAGAGCATGAATGGCATTAGGTTCATTAAACAGGGGGTCTGCCAAGAATACCTAGGAGGGCAACCATCTCGAACGTCTCTTTAAGAGATGTAGAAAGATCTGGAACAACAAAAAACTCAAAAGTTTTGGACTAAGGATTGCTGTCTTGGCAAGACCGAACCTTTAGTTGGACAACATGATTAGCTGGCAAGGGATCACAGCCTACTATCACAATATTAATGTTACATTCCCTTGTGGGCAATTTCAGCGTTTTAACTGTTTCTGATGTAATTAAATTGATTGCACTCCAGGCTGTCGAGAAATGCATTTAAATGGTCGGGTTTTCCTTCAGGGGTGTCAGGCATCAACTTTGTAGTAGGCCTCCCTGAACTAGTCAACATTAAAATTTTGATACAAGCAAACTTTAGTAATAGCTATTAACACACCTAGAAAGGTTAGGAGTGTTAATATTGCAGATGTCAAAAGTTATTATTGGTGCAACAGAATGGCACAGACTCTCCCAAATTCGCCTTCTATTTCCTTTAATCTCCGGAGCTAGCTATTCGGACTTGCCACATACCCTTGTGTGCTGCCATCTATCACTGCCCAAAGTACACTTTTTTAATTTCCTAATTTTTCGGTTTCCTAATAGTAGAATGTAAATATTATTTTAAGAATATTAAAGAACAGTTTAATCTCACCCAAAAGGTTTATTTATTTGTTAAATTTGGAGCTGTTTTAACAAAATGGTGTTTAAGCAGTAATCAGAATTCGAAATTTGAAGCTCTTTATGCAGAAAACTTACGAGTTTTGGAAAACCTTCATCAGAAGTTATTTGAGGCGCTTTTATTCGCAAAAAACATTAGTGTTTAAAACTTTGCTGGAAATGTGCTCAGAATTGTGGAAAATTGATGGGAACACCATGAGAAATTATTCAAAGAAATTACATATGTGTAATTTTTGAAAACACAAAAGAATACACCAATATGAACTTTACATCATAGAGAGCGCAATTCACACTATCCGTTTGAAAAAAATTGAAATTGTTTTATAATAAATTGCGTTTGAGCATTTCTGAAAAAGCGAAAACTTTATACAATATTATTTAAAGCACATGTACTCACAAATATAATAATGTGAACAAATCGCTGCTATTATAAATATTAACGACACAAGAGACACACGAGAAATATAAATTTTTGTAATTTTTGAAAAAACAACGATTTTTTAATAGAGCAATATGGTGTTTATAGCAATCATTTCATAGAGTACACTTAGCACTATCCCTATGAAAAGTTTAAAGATAAACCTTGGACTCGTTTTTCACAAAATATTGTTATTGAAAAAATTACACGTAATATTGTGCGAAAACTACTAAAAGTTTCAAAAGACTGTTCATGACCTTAAAAAAGAACTAATTATGGACAACAAATTTTATTTGATGGAAAAACAGTTATCTTTAATTTTGAAGTTAAAGGAAAACACCCAAAATTTTTGAAATTTGTGAGTTAAACCTGATATCAAAATGAGTCATAGCCTGTGGGTAAGTGTTGAATTTCTGAGATTTAATTAATCTGTGATATAGATGGTGCCATGTGCATAGGAATCTGTGGCAACAGTGCATTGAACAGTCTACTTTTGTGTTGCTTACACCCTACCAATGCACAGTATGTCTATGCACTCAACTGACACTTTTGGGAATTAACATCTGGCACTCCACGCATACTGTCCTAAATGGACCTTATTGCACTCATTAGGAGTTATCCTTTGATTGAATATAGGAAAAATATTATCACTCGGTGGCATTGAAACATAAAACTAAGATAATAGGTCAAAATCAACAAATCACATCAGACAGTAGCAAAGAGATTCATACCTAAATACTCTGGCAGCTTTTGATCCAAATCTCTCTTCCACGATATTTTCTACTGCTGCCCAGCTAAGCTGTACAAAAGCTTCTCTTATATTAACAACATACTGCCCCCCTCCACTGTCAGCCACTTTTGTGATAAAATTACTTGAATCTTCATCTATTATTAAAAAAAAGACACTTATTAAATTGTCACTTTTCACACATCATTTTCCAACATTATAATTTTTTAGAAGATACATACCAAGTACTTTTAAGTATTGATCTAAATGCTGAGCTAGGCGAGGGTTGGTTTTAACCTTATGAACTGCATTTCGTATTTCTACAACTGGAATAGGATTGGATATAGGTTCCCAAGCTTCTGTTCTAATATACATTTGCTGAAGAATAACACGCATTAGCTCACCAGCATTATCATCAATGCGGCGCTTAATAGCTGAAATCATTATGTTATCCCTAAAAAATAGACAAAATCAGATAAAGCATCACTAATCTAATCATTGAAAAAAAGAAAAGGAAAACAATTTAAAAAATACCTAAACTCTTGATGAAATCTGTCAAAATTTACTCTCAATGTGACATCATTTGCTGGCACCTCTGGATGACCCTCCTCCATTTGTGTTAATTCTTTAAGGCTGAGTGAGGGAGACATAAACAAATCTTCTTGTTTAATTATAAGCTGAGGAATTTCTTTGCAACCTGGTAAAGGTTCTGGGCATCTCATTACAAACTGTTTATTCATTAACAGAATTAATTTATCACGCACTATATTTAAAGATACATTCTTCTCCTCTAAAAGAAAAACAACAAACTTTTCCTTTAATATTGAATTTGTATATTTCCAAACTAGTAAAAGTGTATTTTACATATGTGTAAATCTTCTGTCTTGATAGAAATAAATATAAAGGGAAAAATCATCTACAAAACAATCAGTGTTCAATTAAGACCATATATTTAAAAAATAAACCTAAGATGACATAACTCACCCTTTTTTATTTCTTTCAGTCTGATAGTAGCTCTTACAATAATGGACGAAGCTTTTTCAGAACCTGAACGAAGAAGTTCTTCTATGAGTAGTTCAGCTTCATCACCATATAATGTTTTAACAAGAAGCATGTATCTGAAATATACCAGTACAAGTATAACACAAATATTTTGCACACTAAACAAACTGAAATAATATTATCTACAAAATTCGAACAAATTGCAGAAAGCTACCTCACATAACGGGGAAACAATAAAACTTTCTCATATGAAAGAGAATACTCAGGAATTTTGGGATTTTGTTGTGACACTTTGTATGTCACCAGTCCATAACGCACAAGAATTCTCAGGCATTCAATAACCTTTAAAAAACAACAACAGAGATCACAACAACAAAACTTCTGTGTCATCACCATCACATAATTTCATCATTATTACAAGCTCCAAGATGTTACCTGAGAACGTTGCAACTTTGTGGTAGCAACTATGTTGCTTAAAGTCTTTGAACTGACTTTAAATAAATCGTGTGCAACTGTCTTTACGACACCACCAAAATGTTCTAATATTATTTTCGAGCACAATATTCCACAGTCAACAGACATTATAATATTCGAACTCTAACAATATTTTCTAAAACCTTAAATTGCCTTTAATGTCATTACTTAAAAGTTTGATCAAGTGACTGCACGAGCCTCTCCTAACCTAGAATACTGCTTTCATTTCTTCAACATTTAATGCAAAAAACACATTTGACGCAAACATAATCCACTGACCACGTGCGCCTTTCATGGTCACAGAACACCCAAGAATGGAGTTTGTGTATGTTCATAACTATAGTACGATTCATTTATTCGTGCACTTGTCGTGAATCAGCTGCACAGATGAATCCAATCGAAAGTCATTATCAAATTATAGTCAATCATAGTCAAATAAATGTCACTACAGTGGCGTTACTATGGGGACGTAAAAGCTCCCGATTGGATTGAACGGAGAACAGCTGATTTTCGTCATGTGCATGATTAAATAAATCTACCATAGAGACGTTCCAATTCTACCCATTCGATTCCGACATAGACAGGGCCGGTTCACTCAATGTTAAAAGGCGGGGGACTAAGTTTGTTTCCTCACTCACCCGGACCTGGTGCAGATTAGCGCAGCTGTTTGCGTTTTTGGCGCGCATTTTCAAAAGGTAAGGTTGTGCGAATTAATTGTGGCGCGTGTAGAGACTTATTCCAAGAGTCATTATCTGGCTTTTTCTTATGATTCAGAATTAACTTGATTTAAATAATATTTTTAAATATTGTATTAGATGTTTATACTTAAAACGCCAAATTGTAAAGTGATTTACTTATCCTTAATTACTTTAAAAGCCAGAAAAAGGTGAAAAGCTATGAAGTTTTAAATGATCATTTCCTTATTGTTTTGTTTTTAGTTTGTTTTTTTTCAACATAGATACTATATCATTTGAGGGTCTGGTGCAATACTGGCCTAACCCACCGAAAATCTTTAATTGAAGTACTTAATAGTTTCATCACTTTCTCATGTGTTCAGTTATGAATAAGCTTAGCAACACCTGTCAGCATGGGGGTCAGAAAAAGACATTCTTTATCAAAAAAAAATCCTCTTACTGGGGTTAAAAACAACTTATTTCACAAAAAAAATTACAACAAGATTAGACAGTTTTTGAAATATTAAATTCTATTAATAGTTTGCCCCTGTTCATTCCCACTTAAAACTGGTATTTTTACCAATATATACAGGAAAAGGGTTAACAATTATTAAAATTAGTAAGATAAAATTCCATTTTTATTAATTTTTTACCAATATTAATTTTTTTTCGCTAAGTGAGTATCAATAAAAATTCCATTTTTTTATTAATGCTTATCTTCTCTAAGATGTTATACTTTGTGGCATTAGCAAACATTTTACTCAAATCTAGAATTACAAATATGCTTGAAGATTACTCGTGTTTTTCGCTGAAAACAAGCTCGGTGTGTGTATTTGTTCTTAAATTTGCTATTATCTACAGACAATGAAATGCCTAGATAAAAACTAATATCATCCAGTCGCATTAGTAAAATAACTACCTACAAAGTGTTTATTGTTCATTTCATAGCATCGCTCATTTTTAAATGTTATATAACCATTGTATTTTTTTCTCGGGAAATTCTTCAAATTATTGAAAAAAGTTAAATATGAATTCGGTTGTATTAACTATGTAATTGATTTAAGTCTTCATCTCTATAACTTAATATTTGTAATATTTGAAAAATAACTTATAACATCAATGATTTTTAAAAAGTTATCATTTTATAAATCATGATTGAAATCATACCAGCCTTAATTTTTGGTGACTTTTATAGCCGAAAATGGAATTGTAATTTTTGATACACATCAATCATTGTTTATTTTGGGGTTAAGTCTTTTTTCAAACCCAAGGAAAATGAAACAAAGTATACATTAACTAGATTTTATGTTGGGCAAAGTTGAATTTGTTCTTGTAGTTAGTAATAACATACCAGTAAATATGCTTTAGTGTTCTGGGATTACAGAGGGAATTTGCATTGTTTACAAAAAAACCTCTTATAAAATGAAAATTTGTGAAGATATAACATTTTTAATTTGGCCAGTTTCTCCCTATTTTTATGGCAATCTTAACTTTAAAATAAATAACTGGCACAGAATTTCTTCCTGGGGTTTAGGGGCAGGCAATACAAGACCTTTTTTTTTTTATTTTTCTATAGCTACCTGATTGGTTTACTGCACATCATGACAATATTCCACAAAGTCCAACAACAAAATATCCTCATTGAAACCTACACATGGGCAAACAATACTGAATTGTTACGAATGACAGAATTTTGAACGGTATTAATAGAAAATTGGGAATTAGATTTTACTATAATTATCCAATAATATTATTCAGGATTTAATTGTTCAGATGTTTCATTTAGCATTCAAAATTTGGCTAGCATTTTTAATTAAAAATCATCTATAATATATTAACCTTTTCTAGCACTGAAAGTATGTGAAATATCCAAAAAAGTATTATACTTATCTTAATATTTTTAAAAATAAACGTTAGATATTTAGGGTATATTATTTATTACACAACAAGTTTTTTTTATTACACATTCGCAAACAAAAGTTTTTTAATTGTCACATTCAAAATTGTTTTGATTATTTATTAATATATTTCCAGTGCTTGTTAGGAAAGTTTTTCTAAACAAGGGAATTAATTATTCGAATAATATATTGCTGAAAATAAATATATTTGTCTATCATATCGAGACTAGCAGCACTTGCAGCATCAGGGAAAAAAAGATTTTCACTGGCACACTTTGTAATAAGATTTCTTGAAATGTTCTTTGAGAAGAACAACAGGGCTGGCTTGTAGGAAACACTGTTGATACAATTCCTCTTTAGATGTTAGTGAAGTTCGAATTCATTTTGGTATCTTTGGCCAGTTATCAATACTGCAACTCGAAGATCACCTCCAGAAATGAAACGTACTCGTAACAGCTAAGCAAATACACTTAATTACATTTTTCATCATACATTCAATGAGAATGTACCTATTCTCGAAATGCAAACAATAATGAATTATGTATATTTGAAAATTAGACATTTTTGAATACCAGGGTATTGCAAACAATGATATATGAAAATATACATTACAAAAACGTGTCCAATACCAATACGAAATATATAACTAACATTACTTTTAAACAAATAGAAGCAGAATAAATGAACATGTACAGGTTTAGGTTATACTACATGGATTTACGGAATTTTAAGACTATTTTGCATGGTGTAATGTTCACAATTAAATAATCATTACAATTTATGGCAACACAGGATTCCAAAATGATTATAATACCTCCACTGCTGGTAGGGTGAAAATACTACAATGTACTTGTCTAGCACCAGTTTCTTAATATCATTTGGCTCAAAATACTGAAACAAAGTTTTAGACATGACAAATAAATATCGGCGACATAATTCACTTACTTACAATGCAGCGACATTCTAATACTAAAAAAAGCTGAAAAATTCGATAAAAATGGCACTCCTGCTTGCAGCCTGCACGTAAACGAAAAACAAATACCGCCCTACATTGCCAGCTTTTTTTGAATTGCATACGTACACCTTCGTTTAGTTCGGCTCACGTCGCGGAATTGTTGAGATGGCGCAAAAATCATTCCCGCCGTTTTGACCGCCAAGTTTTTCCCTACCCTGGACCAGATTCTTCTTTTTTAGGGTGTAGGGAGTTTGTGTCATATCGAACTTTAAAGCACCATCGATCTTCTGCTCATGCGCAGTTCAAGTTAGTTATCTAATAGTACTTTAAATTTTATAAATGTTCATGTGTTTGAATTCTACCTTCCACCTTGCCTCCACCTTCTGCTTGGTTCAAATTACATTTTTAGCATCTCAATTTTAAAAATAATTCATATCTGGATCTCGGTATATGTAATTAACATGTGAGCCTAGTTGCATAATTTTACTAATATAATAAGAAATTTATCAAAATACAATTTACAAATTATTAGTACTAATAATTTAATTTGCATTATCGTACAGAATTTCTAATAATACTAGAAGAGCATTATTAGTACATTTTACAAGTTACTCATTCCTCACAGACAACAACAATGTTCACGTCCTCCCTAATTAGGTAACAAATGAGTGTGAGATGAGTACAAGAAAACGGCACACATTTTCAATTGTGTTAGACGCGTGAGGTATGTAAAGTATTCGCGAATTCTTATAATAAATCGAAGAGAAGAGAAAAGGAAGTTGAAATTGTGTGTATTAACTAAAATAAAAATGAAGAAATTGAGGTTGATCGGAAGATGGCGGTGTTGCCGGTGCTTTGGCTCCTTGACATCATCGTTCATCCGCGCGAAACACATACATACGAGTACATATACCGTGCATACACTCGCCAAATGATTTTTATGATGAGTTTTCGCATAAAATGCGTCGGTAATTATGCGTTGAACAGATTGAAGGATGTTTTATGTTAACGCGAGGGCGGAACGTCCGAGCTTCGTTCTCAGCTCTCCCGTGACTAAATGGCGAAATCGCTTGTGTTTTACCCCTGAAGTTACGAGTTCGATTCCCGCAGAACCTCATGTGAAATTTGTTATGAGAGAACGAGTTCACATGGTTCACTGGGGCTAGTCCAACCCCTCTGAAGTGTCCTAAACCCCACCCGAATCCTAATTCCTTTCCAACTCTGGCCGCTGAGGAGAGGCGCAGGAGCGCGTTAGTAAAAGGCGCATACGCGGAGATACTACTTGGCGGTCCTCTTGACAACTGACTGCGTCGAGACGTGACAGATATGAAATGAATTAATGAAGGTTATTCTCGATTCGGTTAATGATTTTAAAAATTTCAGTGGGGGTTGCTTCATTTTAAGATATGGTAATTACAATTTGTGAAACATTAGTGTTTGGTTGATATGTTTTATTGCTTGGAGTTGGAATTTTTAACAATTTAAAAAAAAGTTCATTGAATATGTCAGCTATATCTTGTGGGTCGTGTAAAGTTTGTTTTTTTGTAGTGGAGCTATATATTTTTCTGTTATTATAAGTTGGTGCCGTAGTCATTTTACTTATGTCCCACATAGCTTTTGTTTTAGTTACGTACATTTACAATGTACGTTTTAGAATCGAATTATATGTTTTGTAGTATGTAATGAAGTTGGGAGTTTGTTATGCCTTAGTATTTTATACATGTTGCGCTTTCTTTCTCATGGCACTTTGATGCCTTTGGCAATCTACGATTTGGTTTTCTTATTTTGGATCTTTTTGAGTTTTTGAGCAAACATGGCATTAAACTAGTTGAAGTATATATTTATGAATGAGTTAATCTTATCATTTGTATCAGTTATCTTGTATACTTCATTCCACCTTACTAACATGTGTAAGTTTTGGAATTTTATTATGTTTCTTTGGGAAAAGTTGCTTAGTGTGTTTTCTGTTCTGTGACTTTTGAATCTCTTTGAAGTATTAGAATCTGGTTAATCTTCATTTAACTGTTCTTGTTCATTCATACGTGTTCTACTTAACCCTTTAGTTTTTTAACAGACCTTTATTTTACTATGGTAGTGTTTACATAACACTATGTAACATTCTGTAATAGGTTTTATTGCTACAGTTTCAAGGAACTATTTGCCCTCATCATCAGGTTATTAAAAATAATGTTTACATTGACAATAGATAATCCCAGGTTAAGTACATAAATATAATACAAAATAGACAACTTAATACATTACATATTAAACTATTAATTACTCAATATAAATATATGAAAAAAGGAGACAAATCGGATGTGAATAACTACAGAGGAATCTCCCTCCTTTCCGTGCCTTACAAAAACCTCTCCACTTGCCTCTTACAACGCGCACAAGAACCCTAATTGATGAATATGGAGCTGGTTTCAGACCACACAGATCAGCCACTGAACAAATTTTCAACTTGAAATCTGCACTGCAAATTCGAGCTACACGTAATCTCCCAACCATCTGCACATTTGTCGACTTCAGGAAAGCTTACGACTCCATCAACCGACAATTCCTGTTTAATATTATCGAAAAAAAAACAACAAAAAACAATCTGGATCCAAAAACACAACGGCTCATCCAACAAACACAAACTGCCAAAGTCAAATACAACGGAGAAATCTCACAATCTTTCTCTAACAAGACTGGTGTCCGGCAAAGCGATGGCCTTTCCCATTACTCTTTAACATCGTTCTAGACAAAGTCACGTCAACGGAAAAATCAGAACATATGGAGACCCATAAGGCTGGGAAAACATCGTCACATTCCTAGCCTTTGCTGATGATCTCGCTGAAGGACCTTTTCCAGAGCCGAACAAACAGCAATCCATCAGATTGAAGTCCTCAAAGAATGTGCCGAGAAAGTTGGACTACAAATTTCCTTTTTGAAAATAGAATTTATGGCCACAAATCACATCAAAACAGAAAATTTAATTACAAAATATGGCACTATAAACAAGGTTGGTTACTTCAAATACTTAGGCTAAATTATTGAACCTACAGGCACAGAAAGATTAGCACCAAACGAACGGGAACTCAAAATGCTGAAAGCCTATGGGAAAGTTGCGAGCATCTACAATAAAAAATTCGTACATATCAATACAAATGTTCGACACTACATTACTGTTATCAAACCTGAAACACTATACCAGTGAGATCCTAAATCCTAATTACAAAGGAGTCCTCGAGAATATCAAGAAGGATGAAAGAAAAATAATCCGGAAAATCCTTCACACAATGTGAAAAATACTCCAACATCGAAACCGTTTTACGCAAACGACGACTGAATTTCTATGGGCCCATTATGAGACCAGATGACAACCGATTAACAAAGAAAATTTTGACGCAGGTACTGAAACTGAAAACGACTGGGTAAAACAGGCCCAAATTGATCTAAAAAGTCCAACATCTCACCGGGAGACATCAGAGATCGAAACATCTTCAGACACTATATATATATATATATATATATATATATATATATAATATTATAGTATATATATATAGTATATATTGTTGGACGTACCTGAAAGCGGTACACTTCACGACAAATAAATTATGCAAGGACAGGGTGACATTTTTGTGACATGGTGTCTTCCAAGAATTGGCGCAGCATTAGGAAGATAATGCTATAGATTCTTTTGCACATTGTATAATATTTTTAGATGTCAGAAAAACGACCACTTTACTAAACATATTTACGAAAACGCAATGCGCAGGCCTTGGAAAAACAGCGCGACGCGTCACGCTACCGTGTATGTTTTAAAAACCACGTGCTTCCTCTAGGCGACCGACTCGTGGCAGCGCGCGCGTCTTCGCAATCTTCGTTCACCCGAGTCCCGCGAGAATCCCTGCCGCCTGTGGTGGTCAACTCCGTCTGGCCAACCGTAACGGCGAATGAATTCGCCGGGGTCCACCCCAGCCGCGTGCGTGAACAATGTCTCACGGGTATTGGAACGCACGACGCGTGATTGATGATCGTCGGCTGTTCTAGTCTTTTCAGCGACCTTTCTCAAATTTGCGCGGATGTCCATACAGGCCATACATACCATTTGCGCGGATACTACCCACTGTTATTATACCTGGGTGGAATTACGACATGCCATTTTTCCTCAAAAACTCAAAAAGATCTCAAATAAGAAAAGTAAATCGTGGATTACCACATACATAATAGGGTCATGAGAAAGAAAACGCAACATCTACAAAATACTAAAAAATAACAAATGTAACTCAAACTTCATTTCATATTACAAAACATAATTCGATCCTAAAAAACGTAATCAAACAAGCAAAAATTATGACAAATGATAAGTACATTGCAAATGCTATGTAGGACATTAGTAATCATCTTTTAACCCTAAACAGCGCTTCGTTCACTCTCAATTCGAGGAGTTCAATGTCAACGCTGTGGCTTATTATTAGCGTATTGTCAGCATAGCCTATGAGCTGCGTATCTTTCGGCAGGTCAATTCTTAGAATGCCATCATACAGGACATTCCATAAAAATGGCCCAAGTCTGAACCCTTGAGGAACACCGCACGTCTCACCTCTTCTATACTGTCCACATAAGTGATCGTCCTTTCATGGAGGTAGTCTTCAATAAGCCTGATGAGATATTCCGGAATCATCTTGTTAACTAACACGTCTATAATATCATTCCACCTAGCGGAGTTGAAGGCGTTTCTAATGCCAATTGCCTCGAGTGCGCAGAATCCCTTCTTCTTGCCGACTCTTCTTCTGGCTGCGTCTGCTTTATCGATTACTTCCAGGATGGCATCCGTCGTCGAGCGGCCTCTCGGGAATCCATATTGCCCGTGAGAAAAGCATATGAGTCCCTCAAAGCCTAGAGAGTATTAAACCCTCAAGCAGCTTGCCCATGGTGTCAAGGAAGCACAGTGATGACGTCTCATCTTCTGGCTTGTTGCCCTTTCGGAGGAGTATCAGCTTTTGTCTCTTCCACGTCTTGAAGAATATCCCACCCTCAAGGCAGCGATTATAAATTGACAAAAGGCATTCCGGATACTCCTGTGCCCTATTTAGTATTTCACAGGATATTCTATCAAAACCTGGGGCCTTCCCTCGGCCCCAGATTTCATGAATTTCGCAGCTCTCTTCATCTGCATTTACTTCTTTTTATTTTTCTCTTAAGCCGTTTGGACACTTGTACTGTTCCCTGAGGTGCAGATTCGTCTTGGCCCTTGTTGACATTCTTCTTGCCTTGTTGCAGTTCCTTCGTAGTTCGGCTATTTCTGGAGTCCACCAATACATTTGCTGTTTCCTCTTCGGACATATACGTCTAGGCAAGGATGTGTCGCAAGCTGGTACCACTATTTCCTCCGTTGTCTTGACCACATTTTCAAGCGCTTCCGCCTCTTTCGTCCAACCCATGTTAACCTGCAACCTAGATTCTTCCAAGGAGCGTTTTGCCTTGTCGTCATTCATTTTTTTGGGATTCCAAGGTGGTCTTCCTTTATATCGCGTTTTGACATGTTGCAGCTCCTCCGTTAATGGAGTCGAATTCCTATGTACCGATGGTCATTCAGGGTTTCTTCTTCGAGCACTGACCAATCAGTGATGCTTTTAGCTAGCTTGGTGGAGCTTATTGTCAAATCCAAAATAGATGATGCGGCTCCAATTTGAAAGGTGTACTCGTCCCCAGTATTTAAGATGGTCAGGTCATTTCTTGCAATGAATTCACATATGATAGTTCCTCTTGTAGCCCGTCTCTCCCCATTCGGACAACTTACAGTTGAAATCGCCTACCACTAATACCTCGCGCTTAGACGTTTTCAACTCCAGCTCATCGATCTCTTTCTGAAAATTTTCTACCGTATCAGTGGGTGAAAAATAGCAGATATAAAGTTCCATATTACCCACTTCCAGCCAAGCAAACCCGTATTTCGTTCTCGTGTGGTTCCTGATATTCAGCGTATTTTTTGTATTATTATGCCGGCTTCTTCCAGTAGCATCCTGATACCACATGTTGCTGATAACACGTGCTTTTGTCGGTTGTTCGCTAACAAACAACAAGTCTACGTTTCTTTCAGTTGCAACTTGTACAAATAGATCTTGTGCGATTTTGCTCCTTTCTAGTTTAACTTGTAGGAACCTTATTTTGTTTCTTACTTTTCTTGTTAATTTCGGCGTTGTATAAGGAGCTTTTTCTGCTTCCTGGCATGTGGCCATCATTTAAATTTTTATCCTTGCAGATGACACATTTGGGTGTCCTGCTGCAGTCTTTTATCTGATGCCCTGTTTCTCCGCACTTGTAGCATGCATTTCTTTCGGTCAGGGCGCAGGCAGTTGGTGCATATGATGGCCAAAATCTAGGCATATGAAGCATCTTGGTACTTGTTGCTTCTCGTGTGTCTGGCAGTTGACCCATCCTATCTTTATTTTACTCTTGTCATTCTTCAGTAGTTGAAGTTCAGTAGTGAGGCTAGTTCTGTAGGTAGCAAGACTGTCGTTGTTCGTGTGCTTGCAAAATCCTTACATAGTCCGCACGAGATGCCTATTTGTTCGGTTGGTGTGTCTCTAATTTCTACTAAGGTTTTTGGTGTGAATGTTCTAACTATAGCACTCTTCCCGATTGCCTTTACAAGTGCATTGTTATATGATGATGTGTTCCCTTCTTTGCCAAGGTCAATTAGAAGATCCTGTTTCTGAGTTCTTATTTTCTCAATGATTGTGTTGTAGTGTTTTGGATCGACTGCTCTTTTCATCTCTGTGAGGATATCAGCATGTCTTTCCCTCTTTGGCAGTGATTTTAATGCCCTGATTCAGTGTTTTATTTCTTGGTTTTATTTTGTTCGGTTTTCACTTTCTCTTTTTTTCTCTTGCTTCTTTCTTCTTTTGCTCCGGTGATTTCAGCCATTCTTCTCCATCGTCTCTCTCTGCCCCCCTTCCTGGTGTTCTGTGGCATCATAGTTGACATCTGTTGACTCTGCCACAGCCTTGTTTTCGTTTCTTCCCTCTTCTAACTTCTTTTGGTGAGCTGGGTGCCTCTCTCTTTTTACTTTGAGCCCATGGTGGATACTGACTTTTTTCTATGCTATGCTCTTCCCTTTTTACAAGGGATTGCATAGTCTTTTGGAACTCTATCTTCTCTTCTAGGGCATTTTGCCATCTGTATCTTAACGCTTCGATGTTAGCCCGAGCTTTAGACATAGCTTCCTTAACACTTACCGGGTTATTTTTTATCATATACGCCTCAATCGTCTTGAGGTTTTCGTTTAGGCTATCAATGATTGTTATCTGCTGTTCTTCCAGTTGTTCTATGGTCTTCCATTTAATCATCAAAACACTCGTTAAGGTCATTTCTTCTGCGGGTACATTTCCTGTCTCAAGTCCTAGTCTCTCCCTCGCCGCGCCATCTCTTTCCACAGTCATGCTTGGATTTCGCTGCCGCTGGTCGGTAGATATCCCTGGAGTGGTTGGGGTATTTGGAGGTGATCTCTGCAGTTTCGACTTCCCAAAAAGGGATTAAAACCTGCACGCTCTAGGCTTTCGCTTATCACAGTATGGTATTTTAGAGACGCCAAGAGGTACAGTCTCTGAAATTGCAGTCGCTGGTTGACGACCTCCGGGGGCCTGCTTGCCCACCCCCGGCTGCCGGTACTGAGGCGCCGATTCCCTGCACCGTAACGGTTGATCCTAAGAGACTTTCCATCGCGGGTTTCTTTTCGGGGTCACCTTCCCCTAGAGTTTTTGAACTACCACCGGCTAAAAGGAAACGGAAGAAGAGAAGGGAGAACAGTGAAGAAGAGAATTAGAATAGTAGAGTAGCACGGAAACGCCCCTAGCCCCCTTCCCCTAGCCCTCGTACCCTAATAATATCGGGGTCGGAAATACAAAAGATACGAAGATTGGTATACAGGACAGAAAACAGAAGTGTGCCACAACTAAGTGAAAGCAATGACACACAAAGTTAGTGGGAGTGCCTGGATGTTTAGGAGAGTGACAGCGGACAGCTGCTCCGATTAGTCGCCTTCTACGACAGGGGGAGGTCCCGCGGTGTTTTTCTACTAAAACCCCGGACTCCACACGCGAATTTATTATTATTATTATTATTATTATTATTATTATTATTGTTGTTGTTGTTGTTATTATTATTATTAAAATTAAATTATCTACTACTAAAAATAATTATCTACAGTATAATATCCTAATCATCTGTAACAAGTATTGCAGTATAATTTCTAGGCCAATAACCCCGTCTTGATCAGGTTTTGTTCACTTTCCCTGATCCCTTGAGTAAATGATGGGATGGCCCCTTGTTTGCTCCTGAACAGTAATGGAACGTCGCTCTCTCCACCCAAGACATCATATTGACTCGCCATACACAATTGAAATTGTATATGCGACTCAATAAATATTATTATTGTTATTATTATATTATTATTATATTATTAATTTACCAATGTAAGTTTTAACTAATGGTTGGTTTTGATATACACCAGACCACAAGGAAATACGTACATATAATTTTGATAATTTACCGAACAGTGAAAGTTTTTCTTAATAAATGATTAAGTAGTATAAAAATTATGTAAAATTGAATCATATACATTGGAAAATACATTAGATTCAACTTAAGTGTTTATGCAATTGTTGGGCTTTATGAACAACGATTCTAATACAGTTCTTGGATATTGTTTTTCTTCCATTTCTAATATGTCTACATTATTAAAATCCACGGTATGGCCTATTTCTAAACGGTGTATGGATATTGAGTTTTGTCACTGTGTGACTTCATTAATGTTTCTACAGTGTTCAGAAATTCTTAATTTTAGTTTCCTCTTGGTTTGTCCAATGAATACTTTGGGGCATTGTTGACACCTTATACTATATATCTGTTGTATCTATATACTATATATCTCCTTATTATATATACTGTTGTATCCTTGATTGTTATTGGGTTGCTAAAAGTATAAAAAAACACTGCACCATCCGATTCGTTTCAAGGTTTTATTTGAACTGAAATTAAACTGTCAGGTGGCAAAAAAACTAGCATCGCCGTTATAATAAAGTGGTGAGTCAAAACTCAGCTCCGAGATGGCGCCACTGTGCACCAATGAATATGAAGAGATAATGCCAATGGAGGTCCACATGTTTTTTGTCATGACAATTCTCCCGTGCTTAATTGAAAACGTGTTAACATTGAATTTTATGTATGAAGTCGTTGAGTCTAAGTAGCTATGGCGTCTATATAGTTGCCGGGGTCTTGGAGTCGACGTAGTGTCTGGTCCGGGCGATGGCGTCATTCGATCTCTGGTTTTTCTTCTTCAATTATTTCTAGCGAGTCTATGTCAACTGGGACTTGTGGTTGATCTTCGTGCAGTTCTTCAAAACGCTGGTTCAATGGAATGTGTACCAAATCTCCCAAGTCAATTTGATGTTTTTGATTATCAAGATTCGGAGCAAACCTTACTTTTTTCTTTGGCGTTTCTCCTAAAGTCGGTTCTGGAATTTTGGTTAATCGCAGTTGGTCTATATGCCGTTTGAAGATGTAACCGTCATATAATTTCTCCAGATAGTGCAATTGTCCAATTTGTTTGATAATTACTGCGAACTTCCATTGGTTTTTATTGGCAGTGTAGTAGCGCGCTTGTACGCATTCTCCCACACTTAGTTGAAGTGTCTTCTTCATTGATGTTTCAGTGTTCTGAAATTTTATGTGTTTCAGTGCATCTAGTTCAATGCGAATGTTGCGGTTCAGATACTGTTCAGCAGGGGTTCTCTGGTTGTTTAAAGGAGTCGCTCTGTACCTGAAAAGAATTTCCCGAACTTTCTTTCGTATTGGAAGTGGTTCGTTGATCATTGTTCAATATTATTATATTGTATTATTGTATTGTATGTTCAATATTATTATTATTATTAGATTATATGGGGGCTGCAGCGATTAAAGCACTATTTAGATGGGAATGTTTGTCTAAAGGTAGAAACCGATCATAATCTTGTGGTTGCAACAATGTTCCGGGAATAATTCCAGATTGATGCGATGGCCATTGGCAATTCAGCATCTGAATATTAAAATTAAACATCGTAGGGATAGTCAGAATGTGAACGCTGACATTCTTAGCCGTATGTACGGAAATCACCTTCAGGTAGTGTCGGGGTTTGCAGAGAGACGTACGTCCCTCGGCAACGCGTGTGATGCGAGTGCGCGTCAAGAAAGTGCCGACACAGTTCATGAGTGTGTTGTTGTACAACAAAGTGAAAGAAAGGAGTGAAGCAAGACGGATTTGCAAGAAAACATACATTTATGAATCTTTGTATAATTATATTCAGGCAGAATATGAAAAGAAATTGTATATTAATAAAAGTTGAGTGTGTAAAGAAATTAGTAAGTTTATGTATATGTTTGTTTGGATATTGATTCACGGAAGAATGGAAAACTATATAATTAGTGATATGAATGATTGTAAAATTGGTGAAAGGGTTATAGTGTATATTTGTTTATGTCATATTTTGAAACATTTTTATGGTGGATTTGGTTTTGTAATATTTTGGAAGGGCATAGAAAAAGTTCTTGGCTAACACATCATAGCGTTAGGAAATAGGGGTAATAGATGATGTAATTATTGAACGGATATAAGAAATAGATAAGGGTAGTCTAGTAAGGTTGAAAAAAGTAATGTATTTGATGTAATTAGTTAGGTTAGGCGCAGTTGTTTAAAATGTGAGCCAACTGGCCTAGGTCATTAAATTTTGGGGAATTTTGTTCTGTGTTATTGCAACTGCGAAAAAATTCCTGGGGGGTATATAGGAGTTTGTAGCGTCGTGCCACGCTCAAAACAGACAACCACGTGGCAATAGACGAGCATCCCCGGATGTTAAACAAAGGACGGAGTGATGACGCACTGGGACTTTCCGTGGGGGCGGCAGGTAGAGCTGTATAAGGCCAGGAGAACAATGCCCCAGCCTTCTTGTTTCAGCGGCGTCGGCGGCAGGTGAAACGCGTCTGTGCGTGTAGGTGCACTAGGACGAGGGGCCGGCAATTAATTGTCGTGACTTGCGAGAGGCGTATATGGTCTCAAAGTAGAGCAGCTTCATACAGGGAACATCGGTGGTATGTTGCGGTGTGGTAGCCGTTCTTAAATTATCAATCCTTGTAGTGGGTCTATTTATTTAGTTTATTGTGAGCAGGGTAGTTGTTAAATTGAGACTACGGTGTAGATTGTTAATAAATCTACTGTTTTACAAACCACTCTCGTCTGTGTTCGATTACACCCGTATGACGCCACACTATCCATATTCCTTCTGCGGCCGCGATGGAATTTCCTGCGGCCGATCTTGCACTCGTCTACTTCTACAATGTCATTCGCCTCCTATTTTGCTTTCTTGTTTGAAACGTTTGTATAAACTGCACAGACACACACCTCTAAATACCTTGAACCATTTTACAATGGTAGAATTCGCAACTGGAGCGTCATTGTCCATCTCACATTCCCTTTTCGTTCTCTCGTAGGTGTCTTCCATAACAAAGTAGTACAGCATTATTAGGATTTTCCTCACTGACACCTTCCCGTTATGAAAAAACGTGTGTCACAGCAGCCCTGAACCTCCTGTTGTTTAGATGGCCTTCCGTAGTTTATTGGCACGAAAAGTAACCAAAAATAATGTTCGCTGGCCTCACAGTAAGCAGCGTCGGGCCTAAGAGGCATTGCCTCTGAGCAGGAACAAGTTCTTGGTCTCTCAGCCACTACAGCTTCTTCGGTAGCCACAACGTGCATTGACTTCATAAAGCGGGATTGTGAAATCAACACACGCCAGTGGCGGCTCGTGGTCACGTCAGTAGGGTGTGCAACGTCCCTCTTCTCTCTCCCTTTGGTTTCTCAAATACACACACACATAGAAAGGCATACATTACATGCATTCATATATTCCCGTTAACATAAATAATGACAATTAAACAGATCATCTTAAGAAATCTGATAGCATGCTGAACGGTATCTTTTATCAGCAGTGAGGCTTGCCCGATTTTCTTTTCACATGTGCTTCGGCTTCGGCTTCGCTCGTCGAGGACCCCTCCGAAACATTTATTACTATTACTGATTACCGCGTAACTACTCAGCATGTTCCGGAAGAGTTTTTCCAGGGGTGTTAAGAGTTCTATTGTACACATTGATTCAAAACTTTTGTACTCACACTGTTGCTATAGAGTATTTTCCATAAGCTCGCTGTACAAATTTTAGGTTAAGAATACAAGTTACCGAATACTCAAAACAATCTAGATAATTGCCGTCTTCACTGTGTGACAAAACACGAAGTCGGTTCAACGCTGTCTCTTTTCA